TTTGCTGATCTTCTTGTAGCCTTCACCTTTCTTGTGTAAAGAAATCATTTTCTTTCTCAGGCCTAGTGACATTTCTCTTCCATGTGGAGCCATCACTGACAGCATAAAATGGGCGGGGTTTTCTTTAACGCCTTTTTTTTTTTTTCATTACCTGTCTGCTGGATGCCTGTTTAATGATGAATAGACTCACTTGGAGCTGAATTCTTGTTCATTATGATTTTGTTGTCTAAAATGTAGCTTTGCTTCTAAGACTGTCATTGGGTGTGTTCATTTTTGTAACATGGTCTGGGATGAATTTGTTGGGAAAATTCCTTTTTTTAATGTGTGCCGCATCAACACCTTGCTGTCTAAATGAGCTCAGACATCATGCCGCTGCTGCCACCACTTTTATGGCCGATAGATATTTTTTTGCAAAAAAAAAAAAGGTTTTTTTTTTGGGCATCTCAGTGCTGCTGATTTTCTCATAGCTGCTTTGCGTGTCACTTCCTGTCCACATGCACTCCAGGGATGGCTGCAGGACCTTTCTTGGGGCGGGTTTCCTGATTGGTGAAAAGAGTGGACTGTGCCTGCGTAATGTATGTTCGAAGTAGTCCTCGATCGGATTCCCTTTTGACAACCTAAAAGCACAGATGGGAGACGGGACCAAAGCGTTGTCACCCCATAACAGGAAGTGACAGAACAAGGACTTTCATGGCAGGATCACCAGAGATTGTGTTAGTTAAAGTTGCAGATTGAAAAATGTTTTAAATTGACCCCTCTAGTGATATAAAGATCTATATAGAGGAATCAGGACCTCCTTCCTCCTGCCGGTGACCCCTCTAGTGATATATAAAGAATCTATATAGAGGAATCAGGACCTCCTTCCTCCTGCCGGTGACCCCTCTAGTGATAGGATCTATATAGAGGAATCAGGACCTCCTTCCTCCTGCCGGTGACCCCTTTAGTGATAGGATCTATATAGAGGAATCAGGACCTCCTTCCTCCCCCGCCGGTGACCCCTCTAGTGATAGGATCTATATAGAGGAATCAGGACCTCCTTCCTCCTGCCGGTGACCCCTCTAGTGATAGGATCTATATAGAGGAATCAGGACCTCCTTCCTCCCCCGGTGACCCCTCTAGTGATAGGATCTATATAGAGGAATCAGGACCTCCTTCCTCCCCCGGTGACCCCTCTGTGATATAAAGATCTATATAGAGGAATCAGGACCTCCTTCCTCCTGCCGGTGACCCCTCTAGTGATAGGATCTATATAGAGGAATCAGGACCTCCTTCCTCCTGCCAGTGACTCCTCTAGTGATAGGATCTATATAGAGGAATCAGGACCTCCTTCCTCCTGCCGGTGACCCCTCTAGTGATATAAAGATCTATATAGAGGAATCAGGACCTCCTTCCTCCTGCCGGTGACCCCTCTAGTGATATAAAGATCTATATAGAGGAATCAGGACCTCCTTTCTCCTGCCGTGACCCCTCTAGTGATAGGATCTATATAGAGGAATCAGGACCTCCTTCCTCCCGCCGGTGACCCCTCTAGTGATAGGATCTATATAGAGGAATCAGGACCTCCTTCCTCCCTCTGGTGACCCCTCTCTAGTGATAGGATCTATATAGAGGAATCAGGACCTCCTTCCTCCTGCCGGTGACCCCTCTAGTGATAGGATCTATATAGAGGAATCAGGACCCTCCTTCCTCCTGCCGGTGACCCCTCTAGTGATAGGATCTATATAGAGGAATCAGGACCTCCTTCCTCCCCCGGTGACCCCTCTAGTGATAGGATCTATATATATAGAGGAATCAGGACCTCCTTCCTCCCCCCGGTGACCCCTCTAGTGATATAAAGATCTATATAGAGGAATCAGGACCTCCTTCCTCCTGCCGGTGACCCCTCTAGTGATAGAATCTATATAGAGGAATCAGGACCTCCTTCCTCCTGCCGGTGACTCCTCTAGTGATAGGATCTATATAGAGGAATCAGGACCTCCTTCCTCCTGCCGGTGACCCCTCTAGTGATATAATAGATCTATATAGAGGAATCAGGACCTCCTTCCTCCTGCCGGTGACCCCTCTAGTGATATAAAGATCTATATAGAGGAATCAGGACCTCCTTCCTCCCCCGGTGACCCCTCTAGTGATGATATAAAGATCTATATAGAGGAATCAGGACCTCCTTCCTCCTGCCGGTGACCCCTCTAGTGATAGGATCTATATAGAGGAATCAGGACCTCCTTCCTCCCGCCGGTGACCCCTCTAGTGATAGGATCTATATAGAGGAATCAGGACCTCCTTCCTCCTCCGGTGACCCCTCTAGTGATAGGATCTATATAGAGGAATCAGGACCTCCTTCCTCCTGCCGTGACCCCTCTAGTGATAGGATCTATATAGAGGAATCAGGACCTCCTTCCTCCTGCCGGTGACCCCTCTAGTGATAGATCTATATAGAGGAATCAGGACCTCCTTCCTCCTGCCGGTGACCCCTCTAGCGATAGGATCTATATAGAGGAATCAGGACCTCCTTCCTCCTGCCGGTGACCCCTCTAGTGATAGGATCTATATAGAGGAATCAGGACCTCCTTCCTCCTGCCGGTGACCCCTCTAGTGATATAAAGATCTATATAGAGGAATCAGGACCTCCTTCCTCCTGCCGGTGACCCCTCTAGTGATAGGATCTATATAGAGGAAATCAGGACCTCCTTCCTCCTGCTGGTGACCCCTCTAGTGATAGATCTATATAGAGGAATCAGGACCTCCTTCCTCCTGCTGGTGACCCCTCTAGTGATAGGATCTATATATAGCAGCGCAGAGCCTCACTCAGGGACTCCTCTCTCCTTGTATTGAGTTGTGGAGGAACACGAGTCACCAATGTTGTCACTTCTGTCCTTTCCATTTCATGTCTAAGTTTTCATTTCTGACCAATTAACCTCTGAGGTGCTGGGGGGGGGGGGGAGGGGGGGGGGGCAGAGAGTCATCATCGTCCTCTGTTGTCCGAGTCTTATTACAGTGGAACTACGTGGCATCCGAGCACCGCACACCGAAATCACCAATTCATTTCTTTCTAATATTAAAAGCAAACTCCCCATCCATCCATCCATCCATGTCTCCACCATCCATGTCCATCCATCCATGTCTCCATCCATCCATCCATGTCTCATCCATCCATCCATGTCTCCATCCATCCATGTCTCCATCCATCTATCCATCCATCCCATCCATCCATGTCTCCATCCCATCCATCCATGTCACCATCCATCCATCCATGTCTCCATCCATCCATGTCTCAACCATCCATCCATCCATGTCTCCATCCATCCATGTCTCCATCCATCCATCCATCCATCCATCCATCCATCCATGTCTCCATCCATCCATCCATGTCTCCATCCATCCATCCATGTCATCCATCCATCCATGTCTCCATCCATCCATGTCTCCACCCATCCATGTCACCATCCATCCATGTCTCCATCCATCCATCCATCCATCCATCCATGTCTCCATCCATCCATGTCTCCACCCATCCATCTCCATCCATCCATCCATCCATCCCTCCATCTACCATCCATCCATCCATCCATGTCTCCAACCATCTATGTCCATCCATCCATCCATCCATGTCTCCAACCATCCATGTCTTCATCCATCCATCCATCCATGTCTCCAACCATCCATCTTCATCATCCATCCATCCATGTCATCCATCCATCCATGTCTTCATCCATCCATCCATCCATCCATGTCTCCAACCATCCATGTCTTCATCCATCCATCCATCCATGTCTCCAACCATCCATGTCTCCATCCATCCATCCATCCATGTCTCCATCCATCCATCCATCCATCCATGTCTCCATCCATCCATGTCTCCACCCATCCATGTCTCCACCATCCATGTCACCATCCATCCATCCATCCATCCATGTCTCCACCCATCCATGTCTCCACCCATCCATCCATGTCTCCATCCATCCATCCCATCCATGTCTTCATCCATCCATGTCTCCATCATCTATGTCTTCATCCATCCATCCATCCATCCATCCATGTCTATCCTTCATCCATGTCTTCATCCATCCATGTCTTCATCCATCCATGTCTCCAACCATCCATGTCTTCATCCATCCATCCATCCATCCATGTCTCCAACCATCCATGTCTTCATCCATCCATCCATCCATGTCTCCAACCATCCATGTCTTCATCCATCCATCCATCCATCCATCCATCCATCCATTCTCCAACCATCCATGTCTTCATCCATTCATCCATGTCACCATGCTTTATTTTGTTGAGAAATCACTTTCAAAACACTCCTCTAGCATTTCTAGCTGCCGCCATCTTAAGTGAGATGATTCATGTAGCATTTACTTCCTGGAATCCATCTGCCCTTAGCTCAGACACCCTATGTGTCCACTGGACACAGCGGATGACCGATCGGTGTGCCTGCCGCCGCCCGTACCATGTGATCACTGAACAATCACGGCAGATCACATGACAATTGTACACCGTGAATTGCGTTCATTTGTGCCATCCATTGTGTACTATTGTGTTTGATCTCTCTGATTGGCCACACTGATCACATGGTACAGAAAGGGCCAATCACAGCTAACCACAACAGTAAACACTGAATTAATCCATTTCATTCAGTAAAAATGGTTGCTTATAACAGTGAAATTCCCTGGTATAAGCAATCATAATGTGTAAACAATAAATATATATATATATAGTTCCTGGCTGGTCAGTTTTTCTGCTTTTCTTGTCATGAACACATTCCATACAAACAATGATACTTGGTTCTGTATTCTCTAAAAGGGGCGGGGCTGGGTTCTGTATTCTCTAAAAGGGGCGGGGCTGGGTTCTGTATTCTCTAAAAGGGGCGGGCTGGGAGGTTGGTAGGGGGGGTGGAACCAATAAACGGTGTTCAGAGGAGGGTAGGGGGCGGAGACAAGGGGTGACCACCTCGGTAATTGTCTGCAGTTCAGCTCAGTGCTGTCGCTCTCCATCCCTAGGTCGGTACGCTGAGATTCTGTGGCCCCACCCAGTTTGCCACCGGCCAATGGGCCGGCATTGAGATGGACGAATCCGAAGGAAAGAACGATGGGAGTGTGGGCGGAGTTCAGTATTTCAAGTGTTCGCCAAAACATGGTAAGAGTGCTGCTTCCTCCTCCACCATCTGATCAGACACTCACTGTCATCCTATATACAGATTACTGATCCAGCACTGCTTCTTCCTCCGCCATCTGACAAGACGCACACTGTCACCTTATATACAGATTACTGATCCAGCACTGCTTCCTCCTCCGCCATCTGACAAGACGCACACTGTCACCTTATATACAGATTACTGATCCAGCACTGCTTCCTCCTCCGCCATCTGATCAGACACTCACTGTCACCTTATATACAGATTACTGATCCATCACTGCTTCCTCCTCCGCCATCTGACAAGACGCACACTGTCACCTTATATACAGATTACTGATCCAGCACTGCTTCCTCCTCCGCCATCTGACAAGACGCACACTGTCACCTTATATACAGATTACTGATCCAGCACTGCTTCCTCCTCCGCCATCTGATCAGACACTCACTGTCACCTTATATACAGATTACTGATCCAGCACTGCTTCCTCCTCCGCCATCTGACAAGACAATCACTGTCACCTTATATACAGATTACTGATCCAGCACTGCTTCCTCCTCCGCCATCTGACAAGACAATCACTGTCACCTTATATACAGATTACTGATCCAGCACTGCTTCCTCCTCCGCCATCTGACAAGACACTCACTGTCACCTTATATACAGATTACTGATCCAGCACTGCTTCCTCCTCCGCCATCTGACAAGACACTCACTGTCACCTTATATACAGATTACTGATCCAGCACTGCTTCCTCCTCCGCCATCTGACAAGACACTCACTGTCACCTTATATACAGATTACTGATCCAGCACTGCTTCCTCCTCCGCCATCTGACAAGACACACACTGTCACCTTATATTCAGATTACTGATCCAGCACTGCTTCCTCCTCCGCCATCTGACATGAGACTCAATGTCATCCTATATACAGATTACTGATCCAGCACTGCTTCCTCCTCCGCCATCTGACAAGACACTCATTGTCACCTTATATACAGATTACTGATCCAGCACTGCTTCCTCCTCCGTCATCTGACAAGACGCACACTGTCACCTTATATACAGATTACTGATCCAGCACTGCTTCCTCCTCCGCCATCTGACAAGACACTCACTGTCACCTTATATACAGATTACTGATCCAGCACTGCTTCCTCCTCCGCCATCTGACAAGACACTCACTGTCACCTTATATACAGATTACTGATCCAGCACTGCTTCCTCCTCCGCTATCTGACAAGACACTCAATGTCATCCTTATATACAGATTACTGATCCAGCACAGCTTCCTCCTCCGCCATCTTATGACAAGACGCACACTGTCACCTTATATACAGATTACTGATCCAGCACAGCTTCCTCCTCCGCCATCTAACAAGACACACACTGTCACCTTATATTCAGATTACTGATCCAGCACTGCTTCCTCCTCCACCATCTAACAAGACACTCACTGCCACCTTATATACAGATTATGGAACCATCACTGCTTCCTCCTCCACTCTATGCAGAGGCACCTATTATTATACGAAGATCTCGTAGTAATTCATTAATCTTCATGTTTGTGATCTGCCCTCATCCCTGGATCCTCAGTAAGTGCTCCGCACTCTCACCAGGTATTTTTGCTCCGCTGTCGAAGATCAGACGGGCGAACGAGACGATGAGGACTTTTATCAGGAGTTCATCTGTAAAGACGTCCACATCCGTCAAATCTCCCACAAAGATCGACCTGAGCCGCGTGACGTCCAAAATCAACACGGGTGAGTCTGATCCGAGGGCCGGCACAGTGCCACGTGTTTAAAGGAGAACTCCGGGAGGGATAAAGGCCCCCCTGCTGTGTGTGTGCGTGGGGGGGGGGGGGGGGGGGTGCAGGGGTCCCTGGTCAAATAACATTCATCATTTTTCATTGCGAGGTCTCACTATTGATATTTTGGGGGGAGATTTACTAAAACTGGTGCACTCAGATTCTGGTGCAGCTGTGCATGACAGCCAATCGGCTTCTAACTTCAGTTTGTACAATGAAGCTTTGGCAATAAAACCTGGAAGCTGATTGGTTACTGTGTAGAGCTGCAGCAGATTGTACCCCATGCAGCTTTTGTAAATAACACCCCCCCCCCCCCCCTCGATTTTTTTCTTTGCAGTAGTAATGAAGTTCATGTTTAGTTTTTCACTCTTCGGGTGTGTAATCTGCAGCATACAATAAATACGGATCGTTTTCTAGAGATCGGTAATTATTACCCCGTGACCCCCGTGACCCCCGTGACCCCCGTGACCCTTCATCCATGTTATTAATTGTGACGAGCCGCTGTGCAGATCCGGCTCTGTACTTCCTGTGCCTCACGGAACATTTCACCGTCATCGGGAACCCCTCCCAGTCCGGACACTTCCCCCCCCCTTCCAGTCCGGACACTTACCCCCCCCCCCCCCCCCCCCCCTTCCAGTCCGGACACTTACCCCCCCCCCCCTTCCAGTCCGGACACTCCCCCCCCCCCCCCTTTCCAGTCCGGACGCTTCCCCCCCCCCCCCCCCCCTTCCAGTCCGGACGCTTCCCCCCCCCCCCCCCCCCCCTTCCAGTCCGGACACTCTCCCCCCCCCCCTTCCAGTCCGGGACACTTCCCCCCCCCCCCCCCTTCCAGTCCGGACACTTCCCCCCCCCCCCCCCCCCCTCCAGTCCGGACACTCTCCCCCCCCTTCCAGTCCGGACACTCTCCCCCCCCTTCCAGTCTGGACACTGACCCCCCCCCCCCCTTCCAGTCTGGACACTTTCCCCCCCTTCCAGTCTGGACACTTTCCCCCCCTTCCAGTCTGGACACTTTCCCCCCCCCCCTTCCAGTCTGGACACTTTCCCCCCCCCCTTCCAGTCCGGACACTTTCCCCCCCTTCCAGTCTGGACACTGACCCCCCCCCCTTTCCAGTCCGGACACTTTCCCCCCCTTCCAGTCCGGACACTTTCCCCCCCTTCCAGTCCGGACACTTTCCCCCCCTTCCAGTCCGGACACTTTCCCCCCCCCTTCCAGTCCGGACACTTCCCTCCCCCCCTTCCAGTCCGGACACTTTCCCCCCCTTCTGGTCCGGACACTTCCCTCCCCCCCCTTCCAGTCCGGACACTTCCCCCCCCCCCCTTCCAGTCCGGACACTTCCCCCCCCCCCCCTTCCAGTCCGGACACTTCCCCCCCCCCCTTCCAGTCCGGACACTTTCCCCCCCCCCTTCCAGTCCGGACACTTTCCCCCCCCCCCTTCCAGTCCGGACACTTTCCCCCCCCCCCTTCCAGTCCGGACACTCTTCCCCCCCCCCCTTCCAGTCCGGACACTTTCCCCCCCCTTACGGTCCGGACACTTTCACCCCCCTTACGGTCCGGACACTTTCACCCCCTTCCGGTCCGGACACTTCCCCCCCCCCTTCCAGTCCGGACACTTCCCCCCCCCTTCCAGTCCGGACACTTCCCCCCCCCCCTTCCAGTCCGGACACTTTCCCCCCCCCCCCTTCCGTCCGGACACTTCCCCCCCCCCTTCCAGTCCGGACCACTCCCCCCCCCCCCCCCCCTTCCGGTCCGGACACTTTCCCCCCCTTCCGGTCCAGGCCAATTTTCAGCTTTCAGCGCTGTCATACTTTGAATGACAATTGCGCGGTCATGCAACACATGAATTTTTTAGCATTTTTTTGAGACAGATAACGCTTTATTTTGGTGGTATTTATTCACCGCTGGGATTTTTTTTTTTTTTTTGCTATATAAATGAAAAACTTAAAGGGAACCTCCAAGCAAAGTGTAGGGTGGGGGAGGGTCGATCCTCTGTTTCTTGTTTGCTTTGCTTCCTGGGTCTCAGGGAATTTCCCAGAATTGACAATAAAAATGTGATGAATATTTGAACCCTTCTCTGCTCTATACAAAACGAAAAATGAAAGTCTTCTGAGTGATTTCACCAATATCTCATTCTGTCTGTCCCAGGTCTGGTGACGTCCAGGAAAGGAGCGCCATCTCACTCTGCTCAGGGTATTGAGGATCCCTCTAAATCTACGAAGAAAGGTATCTCCCCTCTAAGGAGGACAAAGCCTGGCACTAACAGATCTGTGACTGGAGGAGGGTGGCGGCCCGGTGTGCGGGGAGAACCAATCACAACAAAGATGAAAGTGTTGATTGGCAGTAAATGATCTGACCTGGTTCTGGTTCACGTCAGAGTACCCCCCCTTCAGGTCAGAGTACCCCCCCTTTCACATAAGATTGCCCCTCCCTTCACGTCAGAGTACCCCCCCTCCCTTCACGTCAGAGTACCCCCCCTTCATGTCAGAGTACCCCCCTCCCTTTACGTCAGAGTACTCCCCCTTTCACATAAGATTACCCCCCTTCACGTCAGAGTACCCCCCTTCAAGTGAGAGTACCCCACCCTTTCACGTCAGAGTATACCCCCTTTCAGAGTATCCTCCCCCTTTCACATAAGATTACCCCCCTTCTTTACATCAGGGTTCCCCCTCTTCCTTCTGTCAGAGTACCCCCCCCCTTCAAGTGAGAGTACCCCCCCCCTTCATGTGAGAGTATCCTCCCCCCTTCACATCAGAGTTCCCCCCCCTCTTCCTTCCATCAGAGTACCCCCCTCCGTTTTGCTTTTTAACTGGAAGCCTGAGTCTGGGATGATGCACAAATTAACTCCACATCACGAGCCCCTTCTTGTCAGACCCCCCCCCCCCTTCACATCAGAGTCTTCCCTATACATGAGAGCCCCTCATCACATCAGCGTTGCCCCCCCCCCCTCCCCTCCCCCATCGAAGGCCCCCATATATGTGAGCCCTCTCAGGTGCCCCATCATAAAGCCCCCCCAATCACAGTCTTCTGTTCACATCAGAGCCTTGTATAGCAGAGGGTTGGGGGTGGAGGAGGCAGGCTTCTCTCTTTCCCCTACATGCCCCCTGCCCTGGATCAGAGTCATGCGTTGCCAGGGTGCAGGCGAGCCAGCTACCAGCACCATAGCAACGAAGGATGCCATGGGTCCCGGCCCTAGAGGCGTCATTGGTTGTTGTGCTGCTGGTAGCTGTACCGCCCCCCTTCCTCATGGCACTGATCCAGGTCACACTAGGTGCTTGGAGGACCCGGGGGGGGGGGGGGGGGGGGGGGGCCACAAGGTCACGGTACATTCCATTGTTATCTTGAGGTCATTTCATAACTGAAGGTGCTGAGGAATGTTCTTGAATGATCAGATGAGACCATCAACGCAATGCTTGTCTGTCGCCGTTTTCGGTATGCATGCTTCTAACCAACAGTGACCCTCCCGTGTGTTTTGTGTCCTTGGCTTCCATCATCCTCCTGCAGCATTTTCTATGGAGTCCAGCAGCTTCTGCTCTTCCTCATCATCTTCCTCCTTCCTGGAGACCAAGCCGCCTCTTCCATTCCGTCATCGGCCACCGAGCTCCAATGTCTCTACCACCAGCTCCCAGCCCGAGGCGCTAAGGACCGGTCACGGTACTCATCCCATCTTCCATCGTCTGACGCTCGGGGGGGGGGGGGGGTGTCACTGAAACTGGAGCACTCAGAATCTGGTGCAGCTGTGAATGACAGCCAATCCGCTTCCAACTTCAGCTTGTTCCGTTACGTTTTGGCAATATAAATCTGGAAGCTGATTGGTTACTAGGCAGAGCTGTGCCGGATTTTGCACTCTCTAGTTTCAGTTGATCTCCCCCTGGTGTTCTCTCGGTTCAAGTAGATCTCTAGCCAATTTTTTTTTTTTTTTTAATTTGGAACGGAAAAGGTTAGAAACTCTGTTGGGTTTGTTTTACTGAACACCAGGGAAGCCAATCCCTTTGAAAATTGTAGGAAATGTCCTGGATTCAATGAGAAGAAACCATGCTTCAGCTTTGGTGGTCATTTGGGAGTAAATTGATTACATGGTGCCAGTGGTCAGTAGAAGAAATAGTGCCCCATCATTGGTGTCAGTGGGAGGAATAGTGCCCCATCATTGGTGTCAGTGGGAGGAATAGTGTCCCATCATTGGTGTCAGTGGGAGGAATAGTGCCCCATCATTGGTGTCAGTGGGAGGAATAGTGCCCCATCATTGGTGTCAGTGGGAGGAATAGTGCCCCATCATTGTGTCAGTGGAGGAATAGTGCCCCATCATTGGTGTCAGTGGGGGGAATAGTGCCCCATCATTGGTGTAAGTGGGAGGAATAGTGCCCCATCATTGGTATCAGTGGGAGGAATAGTGCCCCATCATTGGTGTCAGTGGGAGGAATAGTGCCCCACATTGGTATCACTGGGAGGAATGTGCCGTGGGTGGGGTGGAATAGTGCTCCATCGTTGATATCAGTGGGAGGAATAGTGTCCCGTTATTGGTGTCAGTGGAGGAATAGTGTCCCATCATTGGTGTCAGTGGGAGGAATAGGGCCCCATCATTGGTGTCAGTGTCAGGTGGTGGGAGGAATAGTGCCCCATCATTGGTGTCAGTGGGAGGAATAGTGCCCCATCATTGGTATCAGTGGGAGGAATAGTGCCCCATCATTGGTGTCAGTGGGAGGAATAGTGCCCCATCATTGGTGTCAATAGTGGGTGTCAGGGGAAATAGTGCCCCATCATTGGTGTCAGTGGGAGGAATAGTGCCCCATCATTGGTATCAGTGGGAGGAATAGTGCCCCATCATTGGTATTGGTGTCAGTGGGAGGGAATAGTGCCCCATCATTGGTGTGTCCCCATCAGTGGGGGAGGAATAGTGCCCCATCATTGGTGTCAGTGGGAGGAATAGTGCCCATCATTGGTGTCAGTGGGAGGAATAGTGCCCCATCATTGGTGTCAGTGGGAGGAATAGTGCCCCATCATTGGTGTCAGTGGGAGGAATAGTGCCCCATCATTGGTGTCAGTGGGAGGAATAGTGCCCCATCATTGGTGTCAGTGGGAGGAATAGTGCCCCGTCATTGGTGTCAGTGGGAGGAATAGTGCCCCTGTTGGGGAGGTTTCCTGTCCTGGTTACACTTGTCAGAGGGGCAGGGAATAAGGGGGAATTTTCACAGTTGGGGAAAAGAAATGCATATGACCATTTGGTTGAGGTTAAAACCATTTCCCAGTCTAGTATTCAAAAGTTAAAAAGAAACAAAACATAGATATATATAGACACACACACACTATGTTGCCAAAAGTATTGGCCCCGCCCTCCCAATCATGTGATTCAGGTGTTCCAATCCCCTCCATATCATGTGATTCAGGTGTTCCAATCCCCTCCATATCATGTGATTCAGGTGTTCCAATCCCCTCCATGGACACAGGTGTATACAATCAAGCCCCTAGGCATGCAGACGGCTTCTACAAACATTGGAGAAAGAATGGGTCGCTCTCAGGAGCTCAGTGACTCCAAGCGTGGTCCCGTGATAGGTGGCCACCTGGGCAATAAGTCCATCCGTGACATTTCCTGGCTACTAAATATTCCACGCTCAACTGTTAGTGGGATTATAACAAAGTGGAAGCAACTGGGAACAACAGCCACTCAGCCACCAAGTGGTAGGCCACGTCACATGACAGGGTGGGGGTCAGCGCATGCTGAAGCGCACAGTGCGCAGAAGTCGCCAACTGTCTGCAGAGTCAATAGCTAAAGACCTCCAAACTTGATGTGGCCTTCAGATGAGCCCAACAACAGTGCGTAGAGAGCTTCATGGAATGGGTTTCCATGGCCGAGCAGCTGCATCCAAGCCTTCCATCATCAAGTGCAATGCAAAGCGTTGGATGTCGTGGTGTAAAGCACGCCACCACTGGACTCTAGAGCCGTGGAGACGTGTTCTCTGGAGGGACCAATTCTAAAACCCCAATGCACACGTTCCAACTCAATATTGAACCCTACGGACTAAGACTGGGGGGCCATTAAAGGTCATGTGTGTGGAAAGGATGGGGCCCAATATTGAACCCTACGGACTAAGACTGGGAGGCCATTAAAGGTCATGTGCGTGGAAAGGCTGGCGGTCCAATACTTGCGGCAATATAGTGTGTGTGTATTTATATATACACACAGTTGGGTCCATATATATTCGGACACAGGCAGCACAGTTTTAGATTTTTTCAGGTATTTACCAAAACATATTCCAGCTCTAGTTCTATGATGGATCTGGGCGGACAGTGCGCACTCTCTGGGGTAATTTGAGGGTATGTACATCTACATTGGGGGAAGGGTTTAGGAATTACAGCTCTTAAAATTAGTCATCCCCACTTTTCAAGGGACCAAAAGTAATTGGACAATTGAATGAAAAGCTGTTTAATGGCCAGGTGTGGGCTACTCCTTTTTCAATTTCTTCATCAATTAAGCAGTTAGAAGGTTTGGAGTTGATTCTAAGTGCGGGATTTGCATTTGGAATCTATTGCTGTGAACCTCCATCATGCCTTCAAAGGAGCCGTCCATGCAAGTGAAACAGGCCATTTACGGACTTAGGCAGGCCATACACGGGTCGCATTCCAAACGATTTTTCATCCGAAAATCGAAAAACGTCGTTCGCTCTGTAATCCGATGGCGCCATCAATGATTTCGAAAATCGGCCGACCGAGTCATAAAGTTCACCCCATATCACAGGCGAAACTTCTGCTCCTTCCAGGTCACGGCTCATGCGCATACTCTTTTCGGAAAAAAACGATCGTACGATTTGACCATAGAGTAAAAAAAATCGGTAGTTTTTCACGAATTTTCCAACATGCCCGATCACCGAAAAGGGGAGGAACCACGAAAATCGTCCGGTGCCACGGACCCACTAACAGAGCTAACGTCGGCCGATTATTCTTAGGTCCGATTTTTGAATGAAAAATTGTCGAATGTCGACCCGTGTATGGCTTAAGACTGGGAGGCCATTAAAGTTCATGTGCATGGAAAGGCCGGCGGACCAATTCTTTTGGCAATATAGAGTATCTTTGGAAGATTTGATACTATCCATATCACATATTTAATACTAATTAAAAAAAAAAATGGCTGGAGTTCCACTTTGTCACCTGTAGCTGCAGACCTCATGTGGCCGCGCTCCTCCCACATCTCCATCACTCTTCCTATCATCCTATGAATACATTCAGACGTTTCTTCGTGTCACTCGGGTTTCTTCGACATTAATATGTGACTTGCCTGTAGTGGACCCTAACGGTCCGGGGTCACTGCATGCACCCCCACAGCAATGGGCTGGATGTCCGGGACTGGGGTGATGACTGCTCCCCCTCACATGGGACAATGCAGGTCCACACTGGATGATGCTTAAAGCTGAATTCAAGGCAGATATGAGATACAAAGTAATTAATTTAATAATACATCATATTTTCTAATTGAACCTGAATTTGATTTGGTATTGGCCTCTTGCAATCTCCTACACAGCCGAATTCTGATTGGACAATGGAGGGGTAGGACTGGAAGCCATGCAAATGTGTTGACAGGTAACCAGCTGATTGGAGGAGAGGGCAGAGTGAGCAGAGAGATGACCTAATTACTCCACTGCTGCTCTTTTACGAAGCAGTCAGTGGGCTGGGAGGGTGCAGAACTGTATTCTATGGTGTCATCCACCTGGCTGTGCTGTGTGGTAGAGCTGTGTAAATCTCAGGACTGGATGGACAGGGATACAAATCTTTTGGCAGAGAAAACATCTCTTGATCTGTATATATAGCCGTTTGCCTGGAGTTCAGCTTTATGCCACTAACACGGCGGTGTGAGTAAAACAATTTTGGGTGTTCTCGTTGTTTTTGATCATTTTATGGTTTTGGGTCACAATAGACAAAAGGATAGAAGGAAATCTGTTCTACGTTCTGTATGGCGGCTCCCATCACTGATCCCTTTTTTCTGAAAATGCTATTTGCCTGGTGGGTCTTGCTTTTATCACCGAAACATACTTACATGATTTATAAAGATGATGAATTCAACTTTTCACTTGCTGCATGCTTGATCCATATGGAAGTATTGAATTTCTATACAGACAGCCCACATGTTTTGTCTCATGACAGGTTGCCTTCAATTAAAATGGAATTTTGTCTGCATCTCCATTTGATGCACATTGGATTAATGGGAACCGTCTGTCCTTGTAATAGTCGGCATGCATTTGGTTTTTGGGTTTTTTTTTTTTCTTCACACTTTTCTCTTCTGTTATAGCTGGTCCACATTTCTCTGGTTGAACAGGACTTCAGCCAATAAAGTGTAACTAAAAGGCAAAACTTTTTTTTTTTTTCACACTTTCCTCTTTCATCAATAAAGCAAAGGATGTGCAAAGTCCAGTAACAGACTTTCTATTTTTCTTGTATCTTTTTGGCTACTTTACAGGGTTTTTTGTTTCCCTGATTTACTGCAAAGTAGCCAAAAAGATACAAGTAAAATAGAAAGGCTGTTACTGGACTTTGCACATCCTTTGCTTTATTGATGAAAGAGGAAAGTGTGAAAAAAAAAAAAAGTTTTGCCTTTTAGTTACACTTTGGTTGCTGAAGTCCTGTTCAACCAGAGAAATGTGGACCAGCTATAACAGAAGCCAAGTGATGTTTATTGTACCCTTACTGCATACTTTATATATTGGCAGTGTTTATTATCCAGGGAACACTAGCTAGCGTGTGCGTGTGTATGTATGTTTGAAACACTCTGCATGTCCTGTAGGGTTTTCCAACAATTGTACAAACAAGCAGTTTGTGCAGTAAATGCAACAGGCTTGTTTAGTAAAACCAAATTACTATACAGGGTTTTTTGTTTCCCTGATTTACTGCAAAGTAGCCAAAAAGATACAAGAAAAATAGAAAGGCTGTTACTGAACTTTCCTCTTTCATCAATAAAGCAAAGGATGTGCAAAGTCCAGTACCAGCCTTTCTACTTTTCTTGTATCTTTTTGGCTACTTTGCAGTAAATCAGGGAAACAAAAAACCCTGTAGAGTATAGTAATTTGGTTTTACTAAACAAGCCTGTTGCATTTACTGCACAAACTACTTGTTTGTACAGTTGTTGGAAAACCCTACAAGACATGCAGAGTGTTTCAAACATACATACACACGCACACCGCATGCGCTAGTGTTCCCTGGATAATAAACACTGCCAATATAAAGTATGCAGTAAGGGTACACTAAACATCACTTGGCTTCTGTTATAGCTGGTCCACATTTCTCTGGTTGAACAGGACTTCAGCCAGCCATCAAAGTGTAACTAAAAGGCAAAACTTTTTTTTTTCACACTTTGCACATCCTTTGCTTTATTGATGAAAGAGGAAAGTGTGAAAAAAAAAAGTTTTGCCTTTTAGTTACACTTTGATGGCTGAAGTCCTGTTCAACCAGAGAAATGTGGACCAGCTATAACAGAAGCCAAGTGATGTTTAGTGTACCCTTACTGCATACTTTATATTGGCAGTGTTTATTATCCAGGGAACACTAGCGCATGCGTGTGCGTGTGTATGTATGTTTGAAACACTCAGCATGTCCTGTAGGGTTTTTTGTTTCCCTGATTTACTGCAAAGTAGCCAAAAAGATACAAGAAAAATAGAAAGACTGTACTGGACTTTGCACATCCTTTGCTTTATTGATGAAAAGAAGGGAAAGTCCAGTAACAGCCTTTCTATTTTTCTTGTATCTTTTTGGCTACTTTGCAGTAAACCAGGGAAACAAAAAACCCTGTAGAGTAAAGTAATTTGGTTTTACTAAACAAGTCTGTTGCATTTACTGCACAAACTACTTGTTTGTACAGTTGTTGGAAAACCCTACAGGACATTCAGAGTGTCACAAACCTGCATACACACGCACACGCTAGCTAGTGTTTCCCTGGATAATAAACACTCCCAATATAAAGTATGCAGTAAGGGTACAATAAACATCACTTGGCTTCTGTTATAGCTGGTCCACATTTTGAAGGGGACATCTGGTTGAACAGGACTTCAGCCATCAAAGTGTAACTAAAGGCAAGATGTTTTTGTTTTTTTTTGTCCTGAAACGCTGGACACGGATTAGAAAGTTTGTCAGGTTTTTATTGCTGTCTGTTCCCCGTTAAAGAGATTCAACCTCTCTATTGTCTGGTTTATTATACAGGATTTATGGCGCCAACAGTTTGCTCAGCTCAGCGCTTTACAATATAACGGGAGACAATACAGCAACAATACAGATCAATACAAGAGGGTTAGGAGGGCCCTGATCCTGGGAGCTTACAATCTAAGAGGGGGGGGCTGATCCTGGGAGCTTACAATCTAAGAGGGAGGGGCTAGTGGTACAAAAGGTAATAACTGTGGGGGATGGACTGGTAGGAGGAATAGAAGATTCTATTATTAGCTGAGGGCAGGATAGCTTCCCTGAAGAGATCGGTTTTCAGAGATCGCCTAAAAGTGAGCAGAGTAGGTGATAGTCTGATAAATTGGGGTAGAGAGTTCCAGAGGATGGGGGAGACTCTGGAGAAGTCCTGGAGACAAGGGAGCTAGAGAGCAGGAGGTTGTGGGAGGAGCGGAGAAGATGGTTTGGGTGATATTTGGAGACAAGATTGGTGATGTAATTTGGGGACGGAGTTATAAATGGTTTTATATGTGATTGTTAATGTTTTGAATTTTATTCATTGGGCAATGGGAAGCCAGCAGAGTGTTTACCAATGAAAGTAAAAGAAAATCGCAAATTTTGGGTTGGCCCCAGAAAAGTAATAGAGGGGAAAATCGTACATTTGGGACACTAGTTCTGGCGACCTGGGGGGGAGGGGGTGTCCCCAAGAAATTCTCTAAATTCTCAGGGATTTCCTCTCACTTCCTGTTTGCTTAATAGACAGGAAGTGAAGGGACATCTCTGCATTGAGACACAGATGGCGCAAAAAAAAAAAAAAAAAAAAAAAAAAAAAAATCTGACGGGTTATAATCCTCCCTTAAACTGGAGAGAAAGAAATGTTGCCTATAGTTCTACCTTTAACCTCTTCACGACGGCCGAATGCAAATATGCTGCCTCCCGGGGCTAGACGCCAAGTGGCTGCACATTTGCGTTCTATTAAAAAAAGACATATGTGCTGAGAGCGCGCACCCTGCGCGCTCCCAGCACACATGTCCGGTACTCATGGAAAGGTCCCTATCTCTTTCGATTGGGACTTTTCCCGATCATGTGACAGTGTGTCACAGCGGTTACATGACCCTAAACCCCGCCCCGCCTCCTGGCTTCTGAAACCCCTAAAGGGCTGGGAGGCCCCGGCATGACGGGGTTAAGCATTTAAAGAAAGTGGTATGTTGAGCCAGGGCTGCTGTTAGAAATCACGTGGCCCCATACAGCCAACCTGACGGGGCCCTTCAAACCATGAGACCCCATACAGCCCCAACCCAGCCTGACAGGGCCCAGCAAACCACAGGGCCCCATACAGCCAACCTGATGGGACCCTCCAAACCATGAGGCCCCCATACAGCCAACCTGACAACCCCCCCCCCCCTCCCATTCCCTCAGAAAAACACAGTTTACTATGCTTCAATTATGAATGAACACAGTGATTGATTGGTACCAATTGCTCATTGTGTTCATTCAGGAAAGGAAGGGACTGGAAATGTGACATATTTACCAGACCCTTCCCCCACTCTCCATCCTGGAGGATCATATTGTATGCTTCAAATTGTGTTTTGTTTTTTTTTTCTATTATATATAACAAACATGTCAGTTGTTTTGCACAGAGCAGCCTGGAACCTTCACTTCTTGGGTCCCCAGTCA